CGAAGAAGACGATGCAATCGATGCTTGTATCTCATAAATTTGTAGATCTTCTTCTAATGATCAGAGACGACCACACATTCGATAAAGCCCTATTTGATGCTCTCACAGAGAGCGAGAGAGACTTCATGGCATTCATTCTCAAAAAAAAGTAAAATTGAGAACAGAGAGTTCTGAAGCGCCTACAACCAAACTATTAGTCACTTAGTAGATCGTCTGAACATACTTCACAATGCTTCCAAGATTGGAGATGATAATCCATCAATCAAGAAGGAGATGAAAGAGATCCTTGATTCACTATATGCGAAAGGAGTCTTTAGCTATCAGTACTACATGCAGTTCAACCGACGGATGATGTCCGAGGTCTGAGACCCTCGGGCGAGTCCCGAGAGTCCCCTCTCGCATTAGGGGGTGTCAGAGTTAGCGAAAAATAAAAATAGCACGTGTGGTTTTGGCGACAAATGGCATGTGATTTCGCGGCCAAATAGCACGCTTCCTGAAATCACCCACCTCCGGAGGTGGGTGATTTGGAATTGGCGCGAAATCACAAGAAACAGAAGAAATACCACGCCCCGCGGCCTCCTCGGTGGTGCTCCAGATACGACGCAGAGTGCCTCTACCATGGCCAAGGGGAAGCCTCAACGAAGGGCTAAGGCCCAGACGCCCGTCCTTACCTCTAAGAATGCTGATGCAGAGACCAAGAGTACGACAAAGTCCACAACGACGGCCTGCAAGACGGCAAGCGACGGTTCCAACGTCCACCTCACTCTCGCCGACTACAGGGTTCTCGTTGACTGGCTAGAGGTGAAGCAGAACTTCGAAGCTCTGCAAGTTGTTTCCGGCAAGACGACGGTCGGTGGACCACCTAAGATAACCAAGCGAGCTGCATGTGCTGCCATGGCAGCGTACCTCTTTGCTGAGACAACAAACAAGCGACTCACAAAGCAGCTGAAGCCGGAGCAGATGCAGGGAAGATGGCGAACATACATGTCGGACAAATCCTTTAAAGCAATCACCACTCGAACTGTGTAGAGATCTAGTGTTCCGCGTCCAACGCCCCATATAAACTTGATACGGCCTGTAGAAGCGCCATTACCATTCGTGCCCAACCTATCAAGACCCACTGCAAGCTGAAGCCAAACCGGAGCTTGCTTGTTGTTGCTGTTGTTCTGAAACACTCTGTACGTCTAGATTTCAGGGCAGACGCGATCAAACGCTGGACGTGTCATTCGTGTGAGCTGCTTGAGCTCGTTGTCTGGTAAATTCATGAAGAACTCGCCAGCAAATTCGTGACTTCGTTGAATATTCTCTCTTGGAGAGAGGTAGCGTCGCGACAAAATCATCTGTAGTAGCTCGAAGAGGTCCTCAACGTTAGACTCGACCGGGAACAGCTCCTCCCACATGTCCACAGGCGCATGACCACCAAGGTCTTCGTCAAACTCCTGCTCTAGGACCGCCACAGCGAGGAGGTCGAACACCTCTGCGATGAGTTCTTGTCCCTCACTTTTCTTTGGCATCGATCCGACTTTAAAACCCCTCCCTCAATCGCAGCGAGGCAGCGTGCTATTTGGCCGCGAAATCACATGCAATTTGGCGCCAAAACCACACGTGCTATTTTTTTTTAGTTTTTCGCTAACTCTGACACCCCCTATTGGGTCGATTATCTGAAGGGGGCGCATGTCCTGACCATATAGACCGACTGTGAGCTCGTTAGTTGCTCCCTGCATTGGTACCTAGCTAATACCCTGGCCGAGTGACGATGTGATAAGGCCACCGTATGGGACGCCTGCTGACGTGAACGTGTGCAATACTTGGGAGTTATTAGCGAGAGGATTGTAAATATTACTGACGCCGACAACTACCGAGGCAATTGGATCTAACTGAGGGACTAAGTTGGATTTAGCTGCATACATCACTGTTTGCTGACTGGGAGGATATGTACCCTGAGCCAGACCGACAATCGCACTGAAAGAGGTTGAACCAGTATCAATGATCTGAAGTTGAGGAGTATATCCAGACGTACTGAAGGCCAGAGCGTCTGATGCGGTCGTGTATCCCGATACAGCCTTGTAAGGACTCATCGTGATGAAGAGCATACGAGGACGGGTTCTCAGCGCACGAAAGGAAGTAGTAGTACTCTCCAGTCGTGTTATTAATCAGATAGAGGTTGTTTTGGATCGACCAGTACTTCAGATAGTTATTGAAGTCATCGGCTGTGTATGTACCGTTAGGCAAAGTAATATTGAACGTCTGAGTACCAGTACCAGTCGGTCAGATAATGTTGAATCGGTTGTTCATGCGTTGAGTCGTGATTGCTTGCCATGAGTAGTATATACTGATTGAACCGAGAGCGATCTCAAACTGTGAGAAATCGACAGGGCGACTCAGTGTATATTTGAACTGATGAGTCGAGATAGGGTTGTTGATGTTCAAAAGAATTGGGAAACTCATCGTGGAAAAATCTGTTGCTTTATATAGCATCTAATAAAAATGATGAAACGCACAAGAATTCGAAAATCCCTCATGCCAACCTTGGAAGTTGATGGTGGAGGGCTCGATCACAGTAAAAAGCTAACACCCGTGAAGTCGGCAGCGCACATCGAAGTTCTCACGGATAAACTAGAAAAGGTGAGCCTCAAGTCAATAGCAAAAGAGGCTAAGAAACGTAAGAAACCTAAAAACATAAATACTTCTAAGCTTTTAAGCTTTTCCCGTGTTGGTTAAACTGTCGTTCGCACTTAAATGCGTTAGGCTGTGCCTACACGCCTTGGCGTGCTGAACGAGCAATGTATGCTTTCGTCTTCTAATCCGTCCTAAGAAGCTCGAAGGACTCAACTTCTAAGCTAAATATATAGATATTAGTGGAGCAGCACTGGCGTGTTGCTAATTCGGGCGATCGTCTAAAACTCTGTATATACACAGTTTTGGCGTTCGCCCCTTCACGAAAGCTTTTCACTGGAAAAGATGGCCAAGATGAAGCCAAGCACGTCCGCAGGAAGCAAGCAGAGATCGGCAAAAGACGCTTCCTTTGCGCCAGTGTCAAACGCAGGTATGTGCATCAATAGATCTTAACTATTAAATCCATTCGTACTATATAAGTGCGATGATGTTGTCAAATCGAGTTGTAGAAACTA